ACTTTCTGTCGATTTGGACTTACCGTTGATCATATTTGAAATTTCGACTAGAAACAGAATAAAAAACAGACATTAGCATTGTTGTCAAGTTATATCAAAAGTAAAAAAGAATAAAAACATTAGTCGATTTCAAAAATTTACATAAATCTTTGTAATCTATGTATTCTACTATCCGCCCGACATAAATGAAGAGCATGTTGTTTTTATAGGCTGGCAAGTTTTCAACGCCAGTCATGGCCAATTAAGTTATTTTTAACATCGAATTGGCCTTAGTTAGAACTGTTCCGGCACACAATTTGGAAGAGTATGAGTTTCAAGAGAAATATTACATTTAAAAAAAATCCATCCATTGGTGGAGTTGATCTTCTTGGAAATTATCTGCGAAGCTACATTTAGAAGATCTCTGGAAATTCTGAAAGAAGAACTCTAAATTTAAAAATGGATTTTCAAATAGAATGTAAAAATTCGTATAGAGTATGATTCGATCTCTTATAAAGAAATTAGAATTAGAGGTTTCAATCGAAAACTGCTTGCTCTTCATTTTTTATACCCTCCACCATAGTATGGTGGAAATAGACATTTTAGACCCCGATTTAGCGTTGTCCGAACGTCTGTGGAAATCACTCTAGCTTCCGAACGAATTCAAGTAGATTGATAAAATTTTGCTCAAATGTATATTATGTCTGCAGGATATTGGTATAGCCCCCATATAACGGTACCTCCCGATATTCGGTATTTTGATTATTTTAGCGACATTATTCAGCGGAACTGTTTCAAATTTGTTATTTGAAGTTCGTATTGGATACTACAGCCTAACACAGAAAATTGTATGTGCAGGTCCACGTCTTCGTACAGCCCCCATATAACGGTTCCTCCCGATATTCGGTATTTTGATGATTTTAGCGACATTATTCATCGGAATTGCTTCAAATTTGGTATTTGATGTTTGTAATGGATACTACAGCCTAAGACAGAAAATTGTCTGTGAAGGTCCACGCATTCGTATAGCCCCCATATAACTGTACCTCCCGATATTCGGTACCTTGTTGATTTTAGAGACATTATTAAACGGAATTCTGTCAAATTTGGTATTTGATGTTCGTACTGGATACTACAGCCTAAAACAGAAAATTATTTGTGCAGGTCTTCGTCTTCGTATATCCCCCATATAAATGTACTTCCAGATATTCGGTATTTGGATGATTTTAGCTAAATTATTCAACGATTTTTCTAGTTTCGCATTTGAACATTGTAATGGCTTATGACAAAATTTACCTATGCAGGTCCATGTCGTCGTATAGACCCTAATACAACAGCTATATTCGGTATTTTTAAGATTTTAACAGAATTTTTAACGGATTTTATTGTTTTTGAGAATTTCCAAATTCGTTCCAAATGGTGGAGGGTATTCAAAGTTCGGTCCCGGCGAACTTACAGCTTTTTTACTTGTTTCTTTTCACATATGTTATTTTGTCGCTGCATTTTTTGGAATGATTTCTAACAACAATGCTGTGTGGAGAAGAAGCTAATGAATTTTGACAAATATTTAATTTTTGTCAAAATATGGCATTTGGTATAATGCCCTACTTAGCCACCTACGAAACTTTAACTCCGGTCAACAAAAAACTTTACTTCCTCTTTGGGCCAAATATCACAAAATTAAAAGAGCTTCTCGATAGGTTTTTTTTATTTATTTATTTTTTTTTTTTTTTTTTGAATGATGGCATCTAATTAACAAATGCAGCTGACACTTTTTTTCACATAACTGTAAATTTACATAAAGACAAGGCGATAAGTAGGTGTCACTTAACTAAACGCGTAGAGACATAATTATGTTCATCAATCTCATTTAGCAGATGTGATTAAGCCAAAATAGGCATTTCGAATAACACGCCCATAAGATGAACAAATGTTAAGACAAATGATCACCATCTAATATGTATCGCGTGTATTTTTTTTGTTTTGTTGTTGACGTGCCATATGCGCCATAGTCTCTCATTCACTTATCCCAACTCCATCCATTCCTCATACGGAAGTTGACCATCGTTATGGATGGTGTTGATGCTGATGCTGGTAACGACCTTGACATTGCTGACATAGCGTTACACTATTTTCAGTTTCGGTTTTCCTATTTTGTTGTTGACCACATTTTACCGGTTTTGGTGTTTGTTTGTTTGTTTTTTTTTTTTTTCATTTTCACTTTTGGTTTACACTCGAGAAGAAACAGAAGACTTATTTTGTGAGTGTAAGGAGTTAAAGAAGAGGAATTTGAAAATACCAAACTTTATTTGTATGTAAAAAAGAAAAAGTGGTCCACCTACATTCAAGTCCATTGTTACCTACAAGAACAATGGGACTTATATTTTGTAGAAAAAGGGCTTATATGTATAAAGGGTGAATTTGTTCAAATAGCCCATCCCGTTTTCGTGTTTTGTTTCACTGTTAGATAACTTCAGTTCATTATATAATTTATCCATAAAACATCTCGCAAAGGAAAAAATCATTTAATTTCATTAAAAAAAAAATAAAAAAATCGAAAAATTGTGTTCGGTGACGAAGCTCATTTTTGGCTCACAGGGTACAATTCTTCCTGATAGTAAATTTTGAAGTGAAGATCAGTCAGAATCATTGGAAATCCTACCAATACATCCAGAAAAAGTCACAGTTTGCTGTGGTTGAAATTAAGTATAGAAAAAGGTCATTCAGGAAATGTCGTACAATAAGTGTACAAAAGTACTTACATGGAACATAGTGTAGGAACAGAACTAAAATTGTAAATTTTGGAACTTTGACGTCTAGGATAGACGAACCAAAGGGGTTTAGAATTTTAAACAATAAGTGTACCAAAAGAACTAAAATTCTATAAATTTGGTACCATTATGTGAATGAATATTACCTTGTTATACTTATATACTTGCCAAAGAGGTCAGCTGAAAATGTGCACCTTCGGTTGTCCACCAGGACTCAAGCGGCGGTCATGGTGATGGTACGGGCCGCCATAACAGCCGATGGTCATTCTCCGCTCGTATTAATGGACCGTGGCATTAAAAAAAACCGAATATCGCAAAAATATTCTGGAGGGTGTATAAAAGCCTTGGGCACGCAAACATTTTGGCCGCAGACCTTAGACATTCCAACAGGACTCAGCACGCACCATCCAAGAATGGTGACAAAATGATGTGCCTCGCTTCATTTCCAGCGTACCATTAAAATCTCTGGATACCAATCCGTTGGACTATTGTGTCTGGAGTATTTTGGAAAGGTTGGCACTAAAAAATACCAAAGTGTCGATCACCTCAAGCAAGCGCTTCGCCGGAAATGGGCCAAAACACCGCAGAGCAACATTCAGGCAGTGTGTGACGGTTTCATTAGTCGTTTGAAGACCATAATTCGTGCCTAAGGTGATCAATTCGAACAAATCTAAACTTATTCTAAAATTTGATGCTATTTCCGACATTTATTGCTTTCATTCAATAAAATTTAAAAAAAAAGTAAAAATTATGTCACTTGATTTTGTTGCAGTTTTTTTATCTCACCCTATATATGGGAGCTACATCCAAATCTAAAGCAATTTTGACAAAATTTTCAACACTTATTTCTGAGCTGTATCTGATATCTGGTATCAAAGATCATAGTTGTGGAGTGCATATTACACATCTGAGGGACTTAAAACTCCGAATCGGATATCTCAACCGATTTTCACCATTTTTGAAGTAGTTGTTTCTAGGATGAATTCCGTCTGAATAGCCAAGATTCAGTTCATTTGGGTTAATATTAGCCATTAAAAATATACATGGGAGCTATATCCAAATCTGTTCCGATCTCGATAAAATTTGACAAAGGTATTTCTGGGCTGTATCTGATATCTGGTACCAAATATTATAGTTGTGGAGTGCATATTACACATGTGATGGACTTAAAACCCCAAAGCGGATGAGACATATTTATGGGACCTATAGCTATATCTGAACCGTTTATCACCATTTTTGAAGTAGTTGTTTCTACGATGAATTCAGTCTGATTAGCCAAGATTCAGTTCATTTGGACTGATATTAGTCATTTGGTGCACAATAAACCTGATATCGGGAAAAATAATATATATGAGAGATATATTCAAATCTGATCCGATCTCCATAAAATTTGACAGAGGTATTTCCAGAGGTAGGCTGTATCTGATATCTGGTACCAAATATTATTTTTGTGGAGTGCACATATTCTATTCTATTCTAGAGAATACGAATGAGGTCTTCTATTCTACAGAATACCAATAAGGTTATCTATACTATAGAAGACCAATAGGAGGCCAATAAGGTCTTCTACTCCATAGGAAATCACAAGGGTCTTCTATTATAAATCTATGCTATAGAAAAGCAAAAGGATATTCTATTCTATAGAGGACCGATACCCTATTATATACTATAGAGAAGCCTTCTATTATATAAAATATACAGTTGAGTTAATTTGGCACCAAAAAAACCTTGTTTAAAACATGTGAGAATCGAATTTGCAGCTAATAAGCCATATATTATTTACATTTCCAAAAGATCTGCTTTCCAAATAGGCCTTCAAATTTAAGTAAATATTCAAAAGAATGTTGGCAAGTGCCCTTTAAAACTTCGAAAGAAAAATCCATGTGAAAAAATAATCAAAAACTTAGACTTTATTCATTGATAACTTAAGGCCCCGTTTTTGGGTCTTTTGTTTACGCCTTTTATCGCCATGAATAAATCAAAAACTATTCTCATGTAAAAATGTTAACAATTCAATAAAAAACGATCATAAATATTTACAATGCAGTCAATAGAATCCCACGGGTGTTGAGACAAGTCTTCAAACGTTTCACTACAATAAACTCAACATAAAAAAAGAGATTTGTAAATACAATTATTAAATTATGTTAATGTTATTTGAAAGTTTTTATTGTTGTAGTATTCATTTACAATTTTGACATCTCATCATAATTTGTTTCTTTTTTTCTTTTTGTTTTTATTTTATTACAGTGCACGACTCCACGGGCAAACTCAACTCTGGCATCTTGAATGGCAACATCAATCAGTTGGGCGATTTCGATCAATGTCTGCGAGTGCAGCATCAAATGGCTGATGGTGGTGCAACGGGTGCCGCCAATGTCGAAATGAAGGGACAATACTGTTTGGCTTATGCTCAGCCCGAATTGCCACACAAATCGAAACGTTTGCAAACCTTTTTCAATATGGTCCGCTCACATGGACCATTCCGCAGTGAATTCGATGATGTAAGTAATTGAAATGTTTATTAGCATATGGATATAGTTATCTACTGGTGTTTATGAATTTATGGTGAAAATTGAGAAAGAAATCCCAGAAGATTATAGTTTTGGGGCAGTTACAATGTGTTGTTACAGTTACTGTGAAATGGAAGTGGTTTTGGGATAAGTAGGGAGGTAAATGAATGTTTCGTCGATTACATTTTGTTGCAACTGGAAATTGTTGTGGGGAAATAATTGAAAATTATTTAGTAACGTAAAGAAATCACAGGAGTGTTGGAAAGTAACCTCCATGGCAAGGAGACAACATCCAAAACCTAATAAAGAGAAGTTAAAGAGTATTAATAAGAGATATACCCTCATCCTATACAGATTGAGAATTATACTTTTATAAATATTAAAGCTTCGTGGAGGACGTGCACCAAAAGAAATGATTCAATAGCTTGATTTTCAAATTTAGCACATCCCCCCTCCCCCAGAATTAAAAGTAAAAAGCAGCTAACTTTGAATGGGCTGAACTTTTAATACCCACCACCATTTGTAAGGAACTTGAAGATTTTCAAAAAAAAACGAAGACAAGTTAAAAATATCAGTCGGTTTTGCCGTCCGATGTATACCCACAGCCCTCAATATATGTTGACTTCTGTTATGATTATTCAAATCATTGACCCTCTTTGGAGTAGGTTCCTAAGGAATGAGGCAATACTGTCCATTTCGTATCGGACCTATATAAATATCATATAAACATTATATTGGCTACTTCCTTCACTTTATATGAGATATGTGATAAGTTTTAGAAAATGTTAAGATTTGCATGAGGTACCAGATGTAGTCGACCGAAGTATTCCTTTTCCATCATAAATTCCATATTAATCTCATGTTTTTGGTTAAGAGATACATTTATATATAGTTAGTTGTAAAGAATTGATGAGTTGTTTCGCAAGCAACGCAAGATTGAAGTATTGAAAATTGTTACCCTTTGTGGGTGAGGTACCAGAAGGGGTTCGCAGGTATATATCATCTCCGCAACAGATTTTGTGTCAACAAAAAACGTTTGTAGAAAAGAATCGGATGCTTATTTCGGATTTTATAATCGTTTTAATTTTCAAAACTTTGACCCTTTGTGGAGAGGTCTTTTGTTGATAGAAACTTTGAAATGTACCAAGTCTACATGGAATCGGTGGTTAATTTTGCATATTATTGGCTTCAGGGATATTCAAAATTTTGACCATTGGTACCAGACAGAGTGGACCGATAAATCCCATCCTCGCAGCAGATCTTGTTTTATTTAAAATAATAGGATGTGTTAAATATAAAGATTATTTCGGATTTTATAATTGTTTTGGTTATTCAAAACGTTTACCCTTTGTGGGGGAGGTACCAGAAGAATTGGTCCGATCTATACCATCTTTATCAAAATTCTGGTGTTGATGGAAATATTGAGATGTATCAAGTCTGAATGGAATCGGATGTTAATTTCATGTTTTATGAGCTTCATGGATATTCAAAATTTTGACCCTTTTGGGGTGAGGTACCAGAAGGAGTCCGCCGATATATACCATCTTCACAGCAGATCTTGTATTAGTAGAAGTAATAGGATGTGTGAAATATGAAGAGAACCGGATGCTTATTTCGGATTTTATGATCGTTTTGGTTATTCAAAACTTTGAGCCTTTGTGGGGGAGGTATTAGAAGGAATGATCCGATCTCCAACATCTTTATAACAGATTTCGCGTTGATAGGAATGTTGAGATTTGCCAAGTCTGAATGGAGTCGGATGTTAATTTCGAGTTTTATTAGCTTCATGGATATTCACAATGTTAACCCTTTGTGGGGGAGGTACCAGAAGGAGTGGATCGATGTATCCCATCTCATAGCAGATATTGTTTTAGTAAAAATAATGGGATGTGTGAAATATTAAGAGAACTGGATGGTTATTCCGCGTTTTATAATCATTTTGGTTATCCAAAACTTTCACCCTTTGTGTGGGAGGTATCAGAAGGAATGATCCGATCTCTGTCACCTTTATAACAGTTCTCAGGTTGATGAAAATATTGAGATGTGCCAAGTCTGACCCTTTTTGGGGAAGGTATCAGAAGGAGTGGGCCGACATATTCCATTTTCACACCAGACCTTTGGTTATTAAAAATATTGTGATGTGTGTAATTTGAAGAAAATCGGACTCTTATACCACACTTTATAAGAGTTATAATTATTCGAAATTTTAACCCTTTGTGGTGGAGGTACTTGATGGAGTTTAGCGATATTGTCTATTTTCGCACCTGACTTAGCACTGATGGAAATATAGGGATCTGCAAAGTTAAGCAAAATCGGATGATTCTTTCCCTTTAGGTGCTGAAAAATAATTCTTGAAAAAAAAAATTCTTGAAATTTTCGAACTTTTGCGGGGGAGGTACCAGAAGGAGTGGACCGATAGTGTCCATCGGCGAACTCGTTCTAAGTTTGATAATAATATTGCGTTGTACCAAGTTTGGGCCAAATCGAATACCCCCTTCGAGAGTTTTCGTGCACACCAGCCAGACAGACGGACGGATGGATAAACGGACGGACATCGCTAGATCGACTCCAAATGTCCTGAAATGTTTTGGCCGTATCAAATGATGTATACCCTCTCTAGCCATATGGCTGATGGTATAAAAAGCAGCTAACTTCGACCGGGTCGAACTTTTAATACCCTCCACCATTTTGAAAGGACTGGAAATTTAAAAAAAAAAACTGCTTAAATGAAAGTCGTAATATGGGGGCTATACGAACACGTGGAGGACGGACCTGCATAGACAATTTTCTGTCGCAAGTTGTAGCACCGATTACAAATACATAATATGAAACAATTCCGGCGAATAATGTTTCTCATATCATAAAAATACTGAACATGAGGGCTAAACGAAAACGTAAACCGACATAGCCCATTTACGAACATAACCTGTCTGCTGACAAAATTCATATGTGGGCAAAGTTTTAGCCTTCTATCTCCATTCGTTCGAAAGATTACAACAGACAGACAGACGTACATCGCTAAATCGACTTAGAATTTTAAGCTGATCAAATATATATATATATATATACTTTTTAGGGTCTATCATGAGTATTTCAAGGAGTTACAAACGGAATGACAAAGTTATTATGTACCCTCCATAGAATGGTAGAGGGTATAAAAATTCACCGCCTTTATTATCGTAACAACCAGTCTCATTTATTTAATTACAACAAATATTCTAGGCCATAATAACAAGTTATTGGTTATTATCGAAGAATTAAGAACGGCAATCGAAGCATTTAGTTTGACATTGAAAAGTTCATGACTTTAAATAAGAATATGCATATTTGCCACAAACCATCGAAAAGCCCATTATCTTTTTTCGAAAATAAGAATTTGAAAACCAGTTCTCTTTGGCTAAACCATGCCATAAGAAAATTCTATAACAAAGATGTAAAAAAGCTAAACATCAACACCACATGCTAATTCTGTGGGGTTTGTGTCTTAAGTCTTTAGTTTTGGCTGCCAAAGAATGTGGACAAAAAGTTGATATTTATTTCAAAACGAAAAGTTGGTCGTTAAATGGATTTTTCGTTTAAAACAGAGATCAACTTCTTGTCCACATTTTTTTTTGGAAACCAATAAGAATTTATGTAGTTTTAAATAACCTGAATGGATAGGAGTAACTAAAAAATCAAAATCTCAAAATAACGTCTGTTCATAAATAAATTTAATTTTGGGTTATTGGTATTGTGTGTCGAGCAACGGATATATCAAATAACTGCCGAATTCACACCATTCCTCGAAATTAACAAACAAACAATGTGAAGATAGGAATCTTCACACACCCAAACAAACAAAAGATCGTAAAATACATCAACTCCAATACCTGCTTATCAAAATCTGGAAGTTTGCTGTTTAAATCTTTTGATTGGTTCTAACATATAATTTATATCTCATCCAGCTTTTTATTGATGTTTATTTGACATTTTGGCAACACATGCCGTCTGTTTTATTATTGGAACAATACAAGCGGGATTGTTCAAAACCGAAATTGTAAAATTCAGTTATTCTTTTTTTCTATTAGCAATTTTCAAGTTTGTTTCTTAAGTCTTTTGTTTTTGGGATTGATTTGAATTTTTCGTTTTTGTTTCGAATTTAATTTATATGCTAATTGACACTAGTGAGATTGACTAGATGGATGTGATACTAAAACCATTCTAGAAATGCTGGAGTTGGCAAACCCCACATTCTAATTAAAGGAAATTCAATCAAACTAGAATAGAAGACGATCGAATGATTTAGGTCATTTTTTATTCCGAAACTGGTTTGAATACAATACATCTCATTTTGAGTGAAGGTGGAATACTGATTTTCTATGATAGAACCATTAAATTCTCTCTTCTATAAGAACACCAATTGCTCTTCTATGAGAACACCAATTGCTCTTCTATGAGAACACCAATTGCTCTTCTATGAGAAGACCTGTTCTCATAGAAGACCAACAGGTCTTTTATGAGAAGACCAACAGGTCTTCTATGAGAAGACCAACAGGTCTTCTATGAGAAGACCAACAGGTCTTCTATGAGAAGACCAACAGGTCTTCTATGAGAAGACCAACAGGTCTTCTATGAGAAGACCAACAGCTCTCCTATGAGAAGACCAACAGGTCTTCTATGAGAAGACCTGTTCTCATAGAAGACCAGCAGGTCTTTTATGAGAAGACCAACAGGTCTTCTATGAGAAGCCCAACAAGTCTTCTATGAGAAGCCCAACAAGTCTTCTATGAGAAGCCCAACAAGTCTGTGAGAAGACCTCCAGGTCTTCTATGAGAAGACCTCCAAGTCTTCTATGAGAAAACCTCCCGGTCTTCTATGAGAAAACCTCCCGGTCTTCTATGAGAAGACCTCCCGGTCTTCTATGAGAAGACCTCCCGGTCTTCTATGAGAAGACCTCCCGGTCTTCTATGAGAAGACCTCCCGGTCTTCTATGAGAAGACCTCCCGGTCTTC